ATATATGTATATTGATTATTGCTATTTTGAAATAAGTTCTTAAACATATTTTTTCTAAAACATAGAACAATAAATAAAGAGGTAAATCAAACAATTATCTCTTCTAGTTACGACCTTTGTACTCGGTTGCTGCTTTACGTAGGTTGCTAAGCCTTTAAAAATTTTGCACATGGAAGATATGAAGGAAAAATTTTTTTTTCAGGTTTTATACATATATATTTGAATAACTAAAAAATCATAAATTAATACATTAATACCATAGAATTCCACTATAATTTATCAAGCTTAGTAACTAAGATGTATTTTAGTCTAAAAAATATGAAATTTTGAGCAGACTAAAGACACATCCTACCTCGTTGAAATATTGGTTCAAAAGAAAGAAGTCCAATAAAATGGCTGAGAAAGCCACTAGGGGACATTCTGAGCTTCTGATTGGTTATTAATGTCATATATAGAAGTAAGTGTATATAAGGGAGTGTTTTCAAAAATGGAAGGGGTCGGTGAGGTGTCACTGTGTTTTATTTATTACATGAACAATATCTTAGCAAATTTAAAAAGTAAGGGGCTCTATAGACATAGTATTTTGACTTCACAAACATCTAACTTGAACGAGTGCTGCACTCAACATACCACGTGACACACAAAAATTGATGTTTATCTGTGTTTTTTAATATTTGCTTTTAAATTAAGAAATTGAGTAATAACATAGTACTAAAATTTGAATTATAATCTACAGTTTGATACCAAAATTATTGACATAAATGAATAAAATAATAGTTCAACAAACTTTTGAATGCGAGTCAACAAACAAGATGATATGGCCTTTCACCCGTGACCCATCTCAAAAGGGTCAACAACAAGTTGTAAGCCAGACTAAGAACGTTGATCTCAGGCATCAGTTTATTAATTGGCAGTCTCCTTAATATGGAGCTTTGTTCATCATTGGTCTTAGCCAAGATCTTAAACAAATTAGAATGGATGGGTAAATCACATTCACCTAGGGCATGTATAAGTATATTAAACTTAACTAAAGATCTAGCATTAGCGTATTTTTTATACGAGTTATTCACTTTTTTTTTAGTAAAACCAATATAACCCTGCTGACAGCAGGGACAAGTAAATTTGTATACAACAAAAGAAGATTGAAGAGATGGAATTTGGTCCTTAAATTTGAAAAAAAAAAAAAAACTAAAGGTGACAATTTATGTATAAAAATTCACTTCAAATGTATCTGCTCTTATACCCTGCAGAAGACATTTTCGAGCTCACTTTTAATAACACAGGCCTGCGATGGTTTTATTGTCTTGAAATTTGTACATGTTCTACAGTAATTCCTGTATGTTAAATCCAAAAGTGATATTAATTTTTCTCCATCACATACAGATTTTTTCACAAAATGTCATATGTACTTTTACGTAAATGAATCATTTTTCTTGAAATCGGGTCACATTTTGTTATGCTTAAAATGTTGACAACCACTGGCTATAGATTTATTTAGACCAATCATGATATGAGAGTCTTATTGATCTTTCTAGAACCCATGAGATACACACCACTAGTATATAAACGGTTAACAGGCCACATGATATGTCATTTCTGTATAGTATTTGTTTGTGAATGCACTTTGACATTATTTTTTTCTTTTCAATATTATTTATTCATTGCTATGGCAACAAAAGGTTATGTAAATGACCCAAGCATATACTGTTATATTTGTGGTAAATTTGTTGTAAAGAAATAAAGGCAAAACATTACAAAATTCATCAAAAAAGCATATTATGCATATTTTGGAATGAAACTTCAGAACCAAGACAAATCATGGGCTCCACACAAAGTTTGCACCATTTTTGTCAAAGAGTTGAGACAATGGACTAAAGGTAAGAAAAAGTCTTTGCCTTTTGGAATTCCAATAGTCTGGAGATGACAGCTAT